GGTAGACCTCGCCGTCCCTGGGGGGCTGCGATCTGCGAAACCGTCGCAACTTTCGAGGGCTGCTGGTGGGTCCAGCGGAGTGAGGCACCGCGCAGATCTGAGGTAGACCTCGCCGTCCCTGGGGGGCTGCAATCTGCGAAGCCGTCGCCGCTTTCGAGGGCTGCTGGTGGGTCCTGCGGATTGAGGCACCGCGCAGATCTGAGGTAGACCTCGCCGTCCTTGGGGGGCTGCGATCTGCGAAACTGTCGCCACTTTCGAGGGCTGCTAATGGGTCCTGCGGAGTGAGGCACCGCGCAGATCTGAGGTAGACCTCGCCGTCCCCGGGGGGCTGCGATCTGCGAAACCGTCGCCACTTTCGAGGGCGGCTGGTGGGTCCTGCGGAGTGAGGCACCGCGCAGATCCGAAGTAGACCTCGCCGTCCCTGGGGGGCTGCGATCTGCGAAACCGTCGCAACTTTCGAAGGCTACTGGTGGGTCCTGCGGAGTGAGGCACCGCGCAGATCTGAGGTGGACCTCGCCGTCCCCGGGGGGCTGCGATCTGCGAAGCTGTCGCCACTTTCGAGGGCTGCTGGTGGGTCCAGCGGGGTGAGGCACCGCGCAGATCTGACGTAGAATTCGCCGTCCCTGGGTGGCTGCGATCTGCGAAACTGTCGCCACGTTCGAGGGCTGCCGATGGGTCCTGCGGAGTGAGGCACCGCGCAGATCTGAGGTAGACCTCGCCGTGCCTGGGGGGCTGCGATCTGCGAGCCGTCGCGACTTTCGAGGGCTGCTGGTGGGTCCTGCGGAGTGAAGCACCGCGCAAATCTGAGGTAGACTTCGCCGTCCCCGGGGGGCTGCGATCTGCGAAACTGTCGCCACTTTCGAGGGCTGCTGGTGGGCCCTGCGGAGTGGGGCACCGCGCAGATCTGAGGTAGACCTCGCCGTCCTTGGGGGGCTGCGATCTGCGAAACCGTCGCCGCTTTCGAGGGCTGCTGGTGGGTCCTGCGGAGTGAAGCACCGCGCAGATCTGAGGTAGACCTCGCCGTCCCTGGGGGGCTGCGATCTGCGAAACTGTCGCAACTTTCGAGGGCTGCTGGTGGGTCCTGCGGATTGAGGCACCGCGCAGATCTGAGGTAGACCTCGCCGTCCCTGGGGGGCTGCGATCTGCGAAACCGTCGCCACTTTCGAGGCTGTTGGTGGGTCCTGCGAAGTGAGGCACCGCGCTGATCTGAGCGAGACCTCGCCGTCCCTAGGGGGCTGCGATCTGCGAAACCGTCTTGGGGGGCCAGCATCGCGATCTGCGGAATTGTAGCCACTTCCGAAAGCTGCGCGGGTCCAGCGGAATGAGGCTCTTCGCAAATCTATGCTGGACCTCGCCGTCCCCGGGGGGCTGCAATCTGCGAAACTGTCGCCACTATCGAGGGCTGCTGGTGGGTCCAGCGGACTGAGGCACTGCGCAAATCTGAGCGGGACCTTGCCGTCCCTGAGGGGCTGGGATCTGCGAAACTGTCGCCGCTTTCGAGGGCTGCTGGTGGGTCCTGTGGAGTGAGGCACCGCGCAGATCTGAGCGGGACCTCGCCGTCCCTGGGGGGCTGCGATCTGCAAAACTGTCGCCACTTTCAAGGGTTCTTAGTGGGTCCAGCGGAGTGAGGCACCGCGCAGATCTGAGCGGAGCCTCGCCGTCCTTGGGGGGCTGCGATCTGCGAAACCGTCGCAACTTTCGAAGGCTGGTGGCGGGTTCAGCGGAGCGAGGCACCAGGCAGATCTGAGCGAGACATCGCAATCCTTTGGGGGCTGCGAGCCTCACGAATCCGCTCGCGGAAGTCGGAGGTTGGGGGTGAGATCGCACGGTAACGGAGTCCCCCCACCGGGAAATCGACTTTCGAGTTCGTGCTCGTGCCGTGCGTGCGGGCGACGCGAAGCTGCGTGGGCCAGCGAGAGGAATTCACTCTGCTGTCGCTAGGGGTCCGCCAACACAAAAAATGTTTCCCCCCCCCGGTGTTGTCAAGCGGTGGCCCGCACTGTCCCGTCGGTTGCCCACCGGTTGCTCGTCATGGTTGCTCGTCATGGTTGCTCATCATGGTTGCTCATCATGGTTGCTCATCATTGTCCCGCCGGTTGCTCATCATGGTTGCTCATCATAATCCCACCGGTTGCTCATCATGGTTGCTCATCATTGTCCCGCCGGTTGCTCATCATGGTTGCGGGGGGGTGGCTCATGACGACAACTGTGTTGAACCTCCTCATCACCACCATCACCATCACCATCACCATCACCACCATCACCACCACCATCACCATCACTATCACCACGTTCAACACAGTTGTCGTCATGAGCCACCCCCCTCCCCCCACCCCCCCACAACCTCCTTATCACCCGCAGGGTGGTCGTATAGGTATATGCGCCCATGTCACGTCATCACCTCCGTATAACGCCTCCCAAGCTACTCATGCCACGCATTGCGCAATGGTTGGGTACATCGCCAGGGCAATTGTTTTTTTAGTTCCGGGGGTCTTGGATTCTCCGTGAGGAGGGTTGTTGAAGGTGGATTCAAGCGGAATCCTTTTGTAGAGGCTCTCAAAAATATTGTTGTATTGGCTTTCCATAAAATCCTTTTGTAGAAGCTCTCAACAAGAATCCTTTTGTAGAGGCTCTCAATCGGAAGCCTTTTTGTGGAGGCTCTCTATAGAAATCCTTTTGCGCATGCTCTCAATGGGAATCCTTTTGTGTTGGCTTTCCATGAGACTCCTCTCGTAGAGGCTCTTGGCTTCCAATAGGAATCCTCTTGTAGAGGCTTGCATCTGAAGCCTTGTGTAGAGGATTACGATAGGAATCCTTTTGTAGAGGCTTTCAATAAGAATTATGTTGTAGAGGCTCTCAATAGGAATCCTTTTTTGTAGAGGCTCTCAATAGGAATCCTTCCTGCAGAGGCTCTCAATAGGAATCCGCATGTGCAGGCTCTTAACCAGAATCCTTTTGCATTGGCTTTTCAACAGGAATCCTTGTGCATGGGTTTTCAATAGGAATGCATGTGTAGAAGCTGTGAATAGGAATCCATGTTGTAGAGGCTATCAATAGGATTCCTTTTGTGGAAGCTCTCAATAAGAATCCTCTTGTATTGGCTTTCAATCAGAATCCTTGCACATTTGCTCTCTAGCGGAACCCTTTTGCAGAAGCTCTCATTAGGACTACTTCTGTAGAGGCGTTCAATAAGAATCATTGTGTAGAGGCTCTCACTCGGAATCCTTGTGTGGAGGCTCTCAATAGGAATCCTCTTGTGCAAGCTCTCAATAGGAATGCTTTCGTACTGGAATCCTCTCGCATGAGCTTTCGATCGGAATATTTTTGTAGTGGCTTGCTATAGGAATCTTTTTGCAGAGGCTCTCAACAGGAATCCTTTCGTAGAGGCTCCCAATAAGGATCCGTTTCTGGAGGCTTTCAATCTGGACCCTTGTGTAGAGGATTTCGGTCGGAATCCTTCTGTAGAGGCTCTCAACCAGAATCCGTGTTGCAGAGGCTTTTAATAGGAATCCTTTTGTAGGGCTCTCACTAGGAATCATGTTGCAAAATGTTTTCAAGCAGCATCCTTGTGTAAAGGATTTCAATGGGGATCCTTGCGTCGAGGCTCTCCATGGGAATCCTTTTGTTTTGGCTTCCAATTGGAATCGTTTTGCTGAGGCTTGCAACATGAATCCTCTTGTAAAGGATTTCGAAAGGAATTCGTGTGTAGAGGCATCCAGTAGGAATTATTGTGTAAAGGCTCTCCAGCGGGAATCCTTGTGTAGAGGCTCTCAACAGGAATCCTCGTTGGAAGGTTTTTTTTATTCCGAAGGTTCCAGGAGTCCTGGATTCTTCGCGAGGGTGGTGTTTGAAATGTTTTTTTTGAATGTTCCAGGAATCCTGGATTCTTCGCGAGGATGGTTTTTGGACTGTTTTTTGGAAGGTTCCAGGAATCCTCGATTCTGCGTGAGGATGGACATTTTTTGTTGGAAGGTTCTAGGAATCCGGGATTCTGCGTGGGGAGGGTGTTCGGAAGGTTTTGTGAAGAGGCCATTAGAGCCCATTCCCCCGGCCTACCCCCCTCCCCTGGAACCCCTCCCTTTAGGGCTTCGCCCACACCAGAACGTCATCAATCGTACCTCGTTCTTTCCATTACCGGGGCCGGCACGGAAACGGAAAGAGCGCACTCAGCAATGTGCTCGAACATGCTCATGGCATCATTCGCCTCTCGAGTCTTGGTCTGAAGAATCTTTTGCGCCGACACTCACTCTTCGGAGCCTTGTTACTCCTGCTCCTCCTGCTCCTGCTTCTGCTCCTCCTTGTTCACCAACCAATCGAAAATCAACGCTCCTCCTCTTCATCCTTCTTCTGCTCTTTCTTGCTCATCCTCTTCCTCCTCCTCCTCCTCCTCCTTTGCTCCTCCTCTGCTTGCTCCTCCTCTGCTTGCTCCTCCTCCTCCTCGTCCTCCTCCTCTTCTTCCGCCTCCATCCTCGTCCTCTCCATCCTTCTCTTCCCTCCTCCTCATGCTTCTGTTCCTGCTGTTCCTCCTCCTCCTGTTCGTGGTGCCCCTCCTCCGAAGAGTTTTGTTCACGCCAGTCGTCGATATTAATGAGGAGCCATGGTGCTGTGAGCTTACGACGGCACTGTGAGTTCGTGGAAGCCTCTACTATGTGGCGTATCCGAGCTTTTTTGGGAGTCGTTTGGGGGTCATTTGGGGCCGTCTTGGGGCCCGTTTGGGCCGACTTCGGGCACTTTCGGAGCGTTTTGGAAGGCTTTGGCCGTCTTGGAGCTCTCTTGGGGGTCTCTTCGGGCCCTCTTGGGTGCTTGGCCAGGGCCATCCTGGGCCCTGGCATTGTGTCCACACACCATCTTCCCAGGGCCTGGGACGGCCTGGGCCAAGCATGGTGGTGCACATGGTGGTGCACAGGCGCCTCGTGTGCGGGACAAGCTCGCGCCAGCTGGTTGGCAGCCGCCCCCAGCCGCCCTCCAGGCGAGCGGGACCCAGCGTGCACACGAAGCCCCTACGCGCCGCCGGCTCGCGCCCCTTCCAAGAGAGCCGCTGGCAGGACCTCCTTCCCCGCGGGGTGCTCCTGGGGAGCGCGCGCGCGCGCGCGATGGAGCTCGTCGGCCCCCTCCTCTGTGCTGGGTTCCTCCTGCTCCCGTTCCCTCTTCTCTCTCCTCCACCTCCTCCTCTCGCTCCTGCATCCCCCTCCGTCTAAATCTCGACTTCTTCTACCTCTTCCTACGTGTTCGACCCCCTGCCCCTCCAAAGGGGCAGCGACACCTCGACGACGACGACAACGACGACGACGACGCCGACGACGACGACGACGACGACGACGACGACGACGACGGCGACGGCGGCGGCGGCGGCGGCGGCGGCGGCGGCGCCCGGCGGCCAGCGACGACGACGGCGACGACGACGACAACGACGACGACGACGACGACGGCGGCGGCGGAGGCCAGCGCCGACGGCGGCGACGGCGGCGGCCGCGGCGGCGACGAAGAAAGGCACCTTTCTCCACAACCAACAGCAGGGGGCGGCGCCGACCGGGCGCCCCCCCCTCGTCAACGCGCGATCCGCCGCCCGGCGCGGCGGTGGCCCGGCGGCAGCGCTCGGGTCAGGGAGACGCGCAAGAGCTGGAGGGGTGCAAACTTCGATGAAGACAAACGTTATTGACACGATACGGTTTCGGGAGGGCCCCAACACGGTCCCACAGGAGCCACAGACAGGCCCACCAAGGAAACATCAGACATGCGAAATACGCCGAGGATTGAGGACGCAAACGTGTGGTACTTCAACAGGCTCATCCGCAACGTCGTCTGTGATTATGATGCGTTTTAGCGCAATGGCCAAAAGGGGCCCTTAGAGGTCAAACGGCGGCGAATGGCGCATATACGCGTGACACACGCACCATCTCACACCCGTGAAACTTTATCACGAGCTAGCCGGCAGACCGCGCAGTACCGCGGGTCTCAGTAAGCCTCTAGGGGCAGTCAAGGGAGTATTCTCATGTTGGGAACACTCAAGTCAAAGGCAGCCAGGCCTCAGTCACTCACTTCCCCGATGGGATAGCATTCGCTCTGGCCCTCGCCGGTTGTTTCAGGGTCTGGAGTTACGTCATACGAACTAGTACGTAAGGTCTAACCAAGCAAACCCGCAGGCATCTTCTTTGTCCAACCATCAACAGCCATAATACTGGCATCCATCCATATCGTCTTTTCATAATAGATGCGTGGATGTATATCTCTAGTTCTTCCGTTCCCTTAGTCCACATATCCTGTCTTCAACTACCCAAATCGATACTCAAGCTGCTGTCTTAAACTACCCAAATCGATACTCAAGCGCTTATCTTCTAGATTACCCATAGTTGGGGCTATTCGGTGTTCTTCGACAGTTACACAATCCGTCATCCATAAGTGTCTCATAGACATGGTCGGCTTGTCTTCCCACTTGGTTGGCGGCTTCTTTCCTGTGCCAAGCATCCCACGCGCATGCGCCATGGCGGCGCGGATTCGCGCACCAGATTCGACACCCCATAAACAAGCCAGAGTCTCTGCTTAAAGTGTAACTGTACATACTCGTTTGATAACCTTTCTAACTATACATACAGGGTGAACATGATCACTGTTCCCCTTGATGACTCCAGGCCCTGCGAGCCCATTGAACCTAGCCCCCTGTGACCTGAGAGGCTCGATTCTACCCTTGACTACATCCTCTTCCCCTGCCCAGCTGGCGCCATCATATCTTGATCCCACTTAACAGCTCCATCTTTGAATACTAACCCGCGGTCAGCCGACTGAGTTGCTTCTCGTAGTGCGCGGTTGGTTCCTTTGATATGGAGTACCCTAGCGCGACGCACTGATGTCTGCAGTCTGCTCGCACGACGCCGCTCAGGTTTACACTAACGTGCAACCCATGACAAAGCACCTACGACCAGTCCAAGCTGTGCTGTCTCGCCCTCATTGACTTTTCACGTGATGGGACTGTCTAGGATAGGATGCAGCTTCGATGTTCTCAATATTGCCCTCGTCCGCGACACTCGCTGTGAAATCTTCATCTTGAACGACTTCTGTGCAACAATTGCGGAAATTATCCGGCTTGATCTCGCGAGTATCAAACACTGATAATACCGAACCGATGACTATCTGACTCTCATCATCTGCAGACCACATCATGTCATCCACATGTGTACCTGACATGCACGTGGATATCGTTCTTGTCGTCGTGAATGCTGAACACAGCAGGCATGATGCGATGTTCCTTCAGACCATGAGCTTCAAACCTTCTGCGACTTGCCCCCGCATGCCCCGTCCTGCCCCGCGCGTGCCATAGACAAACGCGCGCGCGATCAGCGCTCCACCATCCGGTACTCCTTCGAGTCCGTCGGGCGGTGGCTTCAGCATGAAGTCGAGCTCTTGACCTTGGAATTACGCAGATGTAAAGTCGGCGCGCTTGAGCGTCTTCGTCGCACCGGCAGCGCATGATACTATCAACCTTAGCCCTTCGAATTCGCACGTTGGTGAATCCGCGCGGATACCCGACGACTCTTCCAGATCTCCACGTACGACAAATCTACCATTGCTCTGTGGTGCAACCGAAGGTCCACCAGGTCCACGGAGATGTTCATTCTGGTCAATCTCAATGCATCGCGCAAGTACCACGCGGTATCCTTCGCCGACGAGATTTTGCAGTTCCGCGGAATCAATAGGTACGGCGGCGTTGAACTTCCATCATTTTCCCCATTCGTCTTGTCTTGCCAATCGTAAACTGCTTCTAACGTCCTTGGATTCAAGATGATATACCAAATTCTTTGCAATCGTTATCTTCTTCTTGGATTGCGGCGTATGAGCGGGGCGTTCATTGAAGAATCCGACATGGGATTCACGCGGCTTGACAGCGAGTGAAGCTTCTCTACGAGCTAGAAGATCCATGCCCGGCCCTGGCGTTCCGGCCCTGCGCATGGCCTCAAGAAGTGGGTTCGCTGGTTCGGGAGCTGGCTCCGAGAAAGAGTCGGGTACCCTTCCCATGCTACCATCGGCATTCTCGACTCTTCTGCGCATTACTTCGTTGCGACTCTGTATACCGTGCGGGACGTCGTCTAGCAACGACCTCTGAAGGGGCGTTCGGGTCACGCGTGGTGCTCTCGTCGTGGGCGGCACAGGAACGATCATTCCATCTGACAGTGACAGTTCACCTTCTTCCATGGCGAAATGCTTCTTCTATAAACTCGGGTCTTCTGGGATCCCTGGCAGCTCTTCCGTCGCCATAGGATGTTCTTGCACAGAATGCTCTTGCGCCCGTGGTTATGACAGCTCGCGTCTTTCGTCCACAAATGACTGCTTTTGCCCGTCTGGAGGCGTATACCTTTCAACTCTACCGTCATGGTGCTTAGAGAGGTATTGGTAAGCCCTCGCTTCCGCCGCTGAACACGGACGAAGCCTGTCGACATCCACGCAGACAGGTTCACCCTCTGTGATAACCCCTGCGTTCTTGCCATCGAACCCAACGATACGAGAACCAGTGCTCGACTTAGCGGTAACATCGCCGTCGGTCGGCCTTTTGCGAAAGCATGCTATATCACCAACCTGATATTATCCAGCTAGTGGCGTTGCCTTTCGGAGAGCGGCCCTTGCCGTCCCACTCACGACGTCGTGTTCCGCGCGTGCTTTTCTGGCAGATGCCCGGATCGCAGCCTGGCGAGAAAACTCGTCGGCTCCGTCCCCTGCAGCATTCGCACGCACTCTTCAGTCGAAAACTTCCTCGTCGTCGAATTGACCCCCTGGGACACGAGGCATCTTTCCGGGCACCCACTGAGCAGGCGCAAATCCGCCGACTCGAGACATCTCATTATTCGCGTTGTCGGCTTCTGATGCAGTAGAGATGACTTCGCCGAGTCCGGAAACATTCTTGTCGTCCACCACCTTCTTGAAGATGTTCTTCAAAAGTCCACCATGTCTCTGGGCGCGGCCTATCTGCGCGGGCGACTCGACTCCGGCGTCGCGGAGGTCGACCCCTTGACTCTTAAACCATTGCGGAAACAATCCTCTGTTGTGCAGTCCACGGTCTAACGCCATTCGTTTGGGCCCACCTGCCCACGCGCGCCAGCGTTGCTGAGGGGCTGCAAGGCATGCTCTCGAAGTTGGCGCACCACCTCCCTGCGTGACAAAAACCACGCGCTGACATGATGCACCCTGGCACACTATCTTCAGGCAGGTGTGACGTTCTCCGCTGTTGTCCATTGCTCCTCGACAGTCGATGCCGATTTCATGGTTGAAACATAACTTCTTGGGCAAGGCAACCTTGTGAGTCTGAGCTAACGGTTTGTGATGTTCGCAGGATTCACATCGACATTTCTTGGCGGTTTCAATGTAGTCCGAAGACATGCTGGAGATTCTCAATTGCTGCAAGAGAACACGATTAGGCACGTGACCACACTGTCTGTGCAAGCGTCGAATGGCGACCCCTGTGCGGAACGGGATTTGCAACCGCGCTGTCCTTCTCTGTCCTTCGTGGTTCGGCTCCCCAGGTGATGATTTGATCCAGGATGTATTGTTCTTCATCTCGCAGGCGCTCCTTGGAGACAGTTGCGACGTCGTCATCGCCGATGATCGCGCCCATGTCGCCTCGAACTCTCTCCGCTGCGGCCCCAGCGGGGGAAGCTGCAAGTGCAAGTCTATCCAATCTCACTTTCTGATCTAACTCTCTGGGAAAAACCATGGAACTTCTGACTCGTGATGTCTGCGTCTGACTCGAAGGTGCGAGATCAGCGCACTTGTAATTACAAGGGTTGAGCAACCAGGCTCGCAACCGAGCGCAACAGTTACAGGACAATTATCTTGAGCCAAACCAGAGAAACAGTCGCTGATCACATGATGGTTCGATGGCGATGTAGGCGACAACGAGATCACGATTGCGCTCGACGATGCATTTTGCCATCGACGGCCCCCAATCTGGGCGCGCCACCGTGTCGCTCGAGACTGGGCAGGCGAACGCAATGCCGATGACGTAGAGCAATTCCCTGGCCAAGTTGGTCCCCGCTCGTCCGCGAAGCGGGCCGGACTTCCTGATCGCCTTCTCGACGATCTC